CAGGACCATAAATATGGAATAGGTACGACATAGGTACGCCTTGCTATATGAACAACTATACCTACAATATAGGTGAGATCCATATTTTTGTGACGTACTGCGCAATGGCGGATCTACATAGGTCCACATGCATGGCATGCGGCTATAACGCCTCGCTACCCACTGGGTCAAAACGAGGTTACCAGAGGGGCGTAGCGGAATTGCACGTTCACATCTCACATGCGTTGCACACATCCCCCCCTGGCGCCAACGTCCTCGTTGGCTCAGGGAGTCAGCCCCGCAAGGACCTCGAGTTTTCGCTGGTGTCACAAGTTAGCGACTTTGCTGGTGATGCACAATGGTTACTAGGATCGTTCACTGGGTTTGCCTCTGGCTACACATTCAAGTTCTCGCCGAGGGCGGAAAATGTGACCAGCTGGGATTCGAACACTAGGCTCTTAAACCATTATGACGCCTTGCTACCCACTAGGTCAAAACGAAGTTACCAGAGGGGCGCAGCGGAATTGCACGTTCAGATCTCAGGTATGTAACAGTGGCAGTGGCATGCATGGGATGTGGCAGTGACATGCATGGCATGTGGCAGTGGCATGCATGGCATGTGGCAGTTGCATGTATGGCATGTGGCAGTGGCATGTGCGGCATGCGGCAGTAACATGTATGGCACATGGCAGTGCCATGTATGGCATGCGGCATTGGCATGTACTGCGTATGGCAGTGGCATGTATGGCATGCGGCAGCAGCATGTACGACATGTGGCAGTGGCATGTATGGCATGTGGCAGTGGCATGTATGGCATGTGACAGTAACATACATGGCATATGGCAGCTCACCATGCATTGATTGCTGGCGATGACTCCCCCCCAGCCGACTGATAGTGGCAGATGAGAGGGCAGGCGATGCGCGGGGGAGAGGGAGGTGCGCCGAAGAGAGGGAGGTGCGGAACAACCATAGCAGCAGCAGCAGCAGCAGTAGTAGCAGCAACGCAGTGATGGAATACTTAGAAGTTGCACAGTCGAGCTGGATTCATTCCATCTGATGGGTGTGCAGAGAGCGAGTGGAGAAGGGTGGAGAGTGTATGAGGTGTGTTGTACCGAGTGCGCAGCAAATCTGACTTCATCCCTGCCCGCCCAAGTGAATGTGCGTGCTCTTGACGATAGCATGCAGATTTGGAGGAGGGGAGGATAGAGAGAAGGAAGGGGGATGCCGACGACATGCTGAATGTTATGTGCTGACTGACAGGCTTAGGTTTAGGCTCAGAATTAGGGTCAGGGTCAGGGTCAGGGTCAGGGTCAGGGTCAGGGTCAGGGTCAGGGTCAAGGTCAGGGTCAGGGTCAGGGTCAGGGTCAGGGTCAGGGTCAGGGTCAGTGTCAAGGTCAGGGTCAAGGTCAGGGTCAGGGTCAGGGTCAGGGTCAGGGTCAGGGTCAGGGTCAGGGTCAGGGTCAGGGTCAGGGTCAGGGTCAGGGTCAGGGCTTCAAGTCTGCCAGATGAATGTGTATGCAATTATAGACAGCACGCAACTGTGGAGGAGCAGAGCGAGAAGGGAACATAGGAGAGGGGGCACGGGGGCAAGAGCAAGGGAGAAGATTGTGGGTTCTCTTAAAGAGGACAACCTGGATCGTTACCTTCAGTCAGTGGAGGCACCGCGCGAGCAATGCCAACAGAAGCATCTTTATCAACAGCATCAGCAGCTTGAGTATTTTGCGTAGCATGAGCATAACGAGCAACAGCATCAGCATCATGAGCAGCATCAGCATCATGAGCAGCACCAGCATCATGAGCAACATGACCAAATGCAGCAGCCGCCGTCGCCATTGCTACCGAGTCGCACCTCCTCCCTTTGTAGTACCGTTGCTATAAAGGGAGCTTCTGTGAAACCTGGGGAATCCTGGTCTGATTCCTTCCCTACGGCTATAGCAGCTGTAGCAGCAGTGCAGCAGCCCAAGGCCTTGGAACCTGCGGAAACCACCACTGGGACAGGTACATTTGAGGCGCATGCATCCTGGTCTAAATCCTTTCTAGCAGCGGCAGCTCGGCAGCCAAAAGGCCTCAGAAACACGAAAACCCACCACCGTGACAGAGACTTATGAGGCTCATGCATTCTGGTCTAATTGCTTCCCTGCAATAACAGCAGCGCACTCCAAGGGTCCGGAGCCCGCTACAACCATGACAGGTGCATCTGTGGAGTCCGCAACGCAACCCTAGAGTTTGGAACCCGCTACTATTGGCCCTTCAAGGGCTTCAAGGCAAGTGCAAGCACGGTTCACCGAACTATACTTCTAGTCGACTCCAGACACGCCAGCTCAGCCAGAGGGCTTGGAACGTGCTGCTCCCGGCAGGCCATCAAAATCGTCTTTGAGAGTGCAAGGACAAGCTTCTGCCAAACTGATAAAGTGCCCTGTGCCATTGCAAAGTAATGCTTTGAAGGGTTTGGAACCTGCCACCACCGGACCATCAAGTCCATCATTAAGGGCTCAAGCACGACCTTTCTCATACCTGGTGATGCGGCACTCGGTTACCATGACTGAATGTAACGCTTCCAAGGAAGGTATGGGTCACGTGGAGGCATCACCAAGTGACACATTAGCTTACACTCCCACTGGAGACTGGCTTGTGGATACCTTCATGCGGGCAAGAAACCGTTCCTTCCCAATACCCCGATTGCTTTACAAGGGCCTTGCTGCTTCTGCTTCTGCCGCCGCTGCTGCTGCTGCTCGTTCTTCTGCTCCTCCTCTTGCTTCTGATGTCCCTGTCGCTCTTGCTTCTGCAGGTAATGTCGCATCTGCCGCTGCACTTAGCAGCGCTAGCGATGCCTTGGGCTCCTGTCTGTCGTTATGGACTAGTACGAGCACGTTGCCAGTTGAGGCAACGTGTTGCTAATATCGCATCTGCAAGCATAAGTGATCCTGTTTCTAGAGGCTAGAGCAAGGGGTATGAAAGTACCAGCTGCTTCAAGCGACCGTGGCGACATCTTTCTGGTGCGTCAGGGCTGAGCAGCTTGACCAGCATTAAGATGATAGGTTGTGATGATAATGACGAATATGGTGTTGTCAGATGTGGGTTCACAGGGCCTCCTGCATAATTGTTGGAAGCAGTACCGACCCATAGGGGCTGCTCCGGGCGCATGACTCAAAGTAGGAGACAACGAATGTAGTAGCAGTTCAGGTGATACAGAGCAACTCCATTAGCATTGTATTCAATTTCCGAGGATTTGAAATATTATGTCGAAAAATCATTGTCGTTGCTGCCAGGCCTAGTGCCCTTCCATGTCCACATCAGTTGGTTTTGACCCTGTAACTTGCTCAAGCCTATTTGGGTGTGTCTTGGAGCTATAATGTTGATTATTAAAACAGATACGTACTCACTACACTTGTAAATGATTCGCACCAACTGTTTGCGCTTATCTGATTTGAAGGGAAGATTCACCTCAGTCATGGCTGCCATTCAGCGCACTCAATTGTGCGGGAAAGCTCCAGCTGAACGCCAGCTGGTCGCCAGCTAGCACTTTACTGGCTCGAATTTGCGGCCGTGTACATTCGAGCCAATGAACTCTGCCTGCACGGTGGCTAATTTCGTCCCGTCAGGCTGCCCAAGAACTCTGCACACCCCGATATCTTTGTCGATTGACACACAAACTCGAGTCACATTTTGCCCGTTCGTTCTTGGAGGCCATCCTTTGGTGACAGGTTTCCCTAACCCACCAGAACCGTGTTCTTTACTTCAGTCCGCTATTCGTGCCTCCGCCACGAACGAGTATGTCGCTCCGTACATTACTCATGTCGTTTATTAACATGTGGTTACGTGTCACGTGTCTCATGCCGCCCCGCTCCGTAGCGACTTTAGTTCGTCCTGATCTTCGTCTTCTCCATTCCAGCGCTACAAGAAACAATACCTTAGCTCCTCAGCTTACAAAGCACTGTAACTTTCTTAACTCACATTTACTCTCACTGTAGCTAGATATACACCAGGTGTCCAGCGAGTCCCAGAAAATTGACCAATCACGGGCAACGGACCTTTGACCTGATGGTCCATTCACCTGGGATTTGTGGCACCTGCGACACGGTGGAGACCGGCATGTCCTTGCAAAGAATTTCAAAGAATACGCCACCATTCAATTTTCCACAAAAACCGCGCATCAACGTGACGCACCGTAATGCACCTCTCATGTTTCTCACAAGGAGGTAGTTTTAAAACTACGTTTTATGCAGGTCATAAATTCTGACACCAGGTTTATCCGTGTCCACTTTATGGCCCATTCTCCTGTGGCGAAGGCTTGCAAAATATGTGTGCGTATTACGCCCACGCGGTTTGTCTAAACCAACGATTTGTGGAGCGCAGCCGGTGTATTGTGTACAGTTGCACACCCTAAATCTCCTAATGTCACATTAAAAAAAAAAAACATCACAACCGCCCTAACCGTCACTGCCCAGATCGGCTTCTGATCACATTGCTCCGAAGCCATTTGTGAGTAGCCCGCACCCAAGCGACTTCTATTCGAGACATCAGTGTAAGACGGGTGGTTCTGTTTATTTCGTAATGCCCCATAATTTCCAAACGGGCGATTTTCAGAACTAAGCGAAAGGATGGAAAAACGTACTCCGCTCTCCTTACCTCATGGTTTGGATTCGAGCAATCCGCGGCGATTCTCTTCTCTCCTCTCTCCTCTCCACCATCCCCTCCTAAGGAGCATTCCATATCCATCCCACATATTCGACCCGCCGCCTAGCACCAGTTCTTCTGACACTCTCATTTCATCTTAACCCTAAAACAATCTCTCCTCACCTCACCCTCTGCCTGACCCTTCCCCTTACAGTGGTGATGATTTTGTGTTCTGCGCCAACCTTGGAATCTCATCTCTCATCATCACCAGCGCATGGACGGTGACCGTCTCAACAACAACCGAGCCGCACGAAGCTAACAGAGAACATGATCTTCTTGTATAGCGGCGAGTCAGGCACACGACTCTTCTGGATTCTGGATCGCGGCCGCTTTCCACCAGAAGTATCTCGCCTCGCCTCGCCTCGCCTCACCTCGCCTCCTGTACACACAGACAGTAGCAACAGTACAGTACAGTACGACTGGCTAGGGTACACGACGAACCTGACTGGAGTAGGGGTAAGGTAGGCGAGGAGCGAGGTCTGGCACCACATGATCCGTGTTGAGAGGTCCCAAAACAAGATGACTGTACCATCTCTCGGCCTCCTCGCCGTATCTCATGACAATCCTCCTCTGGCCACTACAAGCGTCACGTTCAGAGAGTACAGGACTGTACAGTAGTACTGTCCATCGGACTCGAGAAAAAAACTGGATTCGCCGCTTCTCTCAGTCTTCCGTCTAGATTCCGAATTTGCCATCGATTGAAATGAACTGGCGCCAGTAATTCTAGACAGAAATGGCTTCTGCGGGCCTCCTCCTGGTGTGCATGGAACCGACCGACCAACCAACCCCCGAGGGTCGTCCACTGAAGAACTATCGTGACGGCGCCACGTGATCAGCACCATCATAGCTTATCACCACCGTGGTGACCACCTGTATTTCAACCACGGATATCGTGTGACGTGCCTCCGCCACGTGTCACCTCCACGTCACTGATGTGGCACATGACCGCACCGTCGCGTGGTCACCAGCTCAGAACGGTTGTGGGCTGAAATCGTGGAAAGGTAGTGGGCCCGTCTCGACCTGGCCAAGAAATCCACCCGTCCCCCACTACGTTGGTCTCCGACCATGGCGAAGACCTCGAACGAGAGCGGTTTATCTCTCACGGTCCACGCGCTTGGAACGAGCATCCCTGCTAGGGTTCCGATGAGGGTTCCGGTGAGAGTTCCGGTGAGGGTTCCGTTTCCGAGTCTGCCGGCGATCCCGAATCCTACGAGCTAGTACTTAGTGGTAGTAGTACGTTTCCTTTAATTAGTACTTCAAACCGCACCATCGCCCCATGTGTGCGCTATGAACTGCCAGTGCCGGCCAGTCTGCTCGTCCGACGGCTCAGAGCCATTGAATTCGACTCGGAGTCCGAGTCGATCATGGACGATCCCAATCCCCCTGTCACGATCGCTGGGGGCGTCGCAAACGCCTTCGTTATGGTCGCATGGGGACGCCCATGCGACGCAAGCGATGGCTCGGTCGTGGTCGTTCAGCGATGTGGCCCAGGCGACCACGCAAACGGCGCCGCCCCCGCGGTCGGCGTGGTCGCGATCGCGGTCGTTCAGCGACGTCAGGGCGGCGCAACTGGCGTCCTACGAAACGACCCCCCCGCGGTCGCCGTGGTCGGCGTGGTCGCGCTCGTTCAGCGACGCCCAGGCGACGCAAAAGACGGCCCCTCAGTCATGGTCGTGGGCGCGGCCGTACGGCGACGCCCAGGCGACGCAGATGGTGCGGTCGCGGTCGTTCAGCGACTTCCAGGCGACGGGAACGAAGCGGTCATGGTCCTTAAGCGACGCCCTGGCGACAGGAACGACGGGAAACAAGCGCTCATGGTCCCTAAGCGATTCCCTGGCGACAGGAACGACGAAAAACAAGCGGTCATGGTCCTTGAGCGACGCCCAGGCGACAGGAACGAAGCAGTCATGGCACCAATCCCAGCGGAGGCCGCCGCGGCCGCAACACGAGCGGCACGGGAGCAGCGAGCGACTCTCTGACTGGCTGGAAAACAGCCTTTTCTCCGCGAAACACGGTGACAGTCATGGCAGAGGCGCTGCTTCCCTTCCTTTCCTTCCTTCTGTTCCTGCCACTCCTGCCGTCCCTGCGCCGCGGCACGAGCAGCAGCAGCACGGGAGCAGCCGCACCGGCGAGCGACTCTCAGACTGGCTGGAGAACAGCCTTTTCTCCGTGAAACACGGTGACGGCTGGGGCGTTTCTGCCGCTCCTGCCCCGCAGCACGAGCAGCACGGCGGGAGCCGCGAGCGGCTCTCTGACTGGCTGGAAAACAGCCTTTTCCCCACGAACCGTGGCGTGGGCGTTTCTGCTGTTCCTGCTGTTCCTGTCGTTCCTGCGCCGCAGCACGAGCAGCAGCAGCACGGGAGCAGCGAGCGGCTCTCTGACTGGCTGGAAAAGAGCCTTCTCCCCTCGAAACACGCCAGGGGCGCTCCTGCTGCTCCTGCTGCTCCTGCTGCTCCTCCCATCCCTGCCGCTCTTGCCGTCCCCGCCGTTCCTGCACCGCGCCGCCCGCCGCGTCACGGTTACAGCAGTGCTGTGAATAGTAGGAGTCACCTTGTGACAGGGGCCAACACACGCCGGGGCGTTTCCCCATCACCCCATCCGCGTTATAGTAGGACTCAGCGCAATGGCCCAGTGGCAGCGGAAGAGGCAGAGGCTGCTGCTGCTGCTGCTGCTGCGCCAGGAGCTGCTGCTGATGCTGCTGCTGCTGCTCCTGCTGCTGCTTTCGAGCGGAAGGGAGCTCTGAGTGCCAGTCCCATCGCATCCGGTACAAGTTGTGCTGTTCACCGGTTGCCAACTCTTGCCCCAATCGGTTGCACTGAGCGTCGGCCCGTACCAATCGATTGCACTGAGCACCGGCCCGCCCCAATTGGTTGCACTGAGCACCGGCCCGCCCCGATTGGTTGCACTGAGCGCCGGTCGCTTTTGAGTCAACTCAAAACGCTCCTGGACGGCCCGGTGGCGGCGGTAGAGGCAGCAGAGGCCGCTGTTGCTACTGCTGCTGCTGCACCCGAGGGGAAGAGAACCCCGACTTCGAGACACAGTCCAAATCCCCTCTCAATCGGCTGCCCTGAGCAGCGCGGGGGAGAAACAGAACCTCGTGGGGAGAGGAATGGAACCCCCGTTGCAACCATGGGTCGGAATGGGCACCGGTTGCGCCAGGAGAGGAGTGCTGTTTCTGGGCAGTACAGTGCACCTCAGTGCAATTTCATCCCTCAGAATCACGCTCTGTGGCACCAGCTGCAGCAGCTGCAGGCGATGGGAGATTTCGAGGCGTGTAAGGAGCCCTCTCTTTCCGAGAGGGAAGGAACCTCCGTTTCTCAGGAGCAGGCTTCGTGGGGCCAGTTGCAAGAGGTGCAGGAGGCGCAGGAGGTGCAGCAAGTGCCACAAGTGCCGCAAGTGCAGGAGTTCGCTGCTAACAGGAGGGATGAGGCTCCTGGCTGTAAGAACCAGGGTCTGTGGGACAAGCTGCACGAAGTGCAGCAGTTGATAGAGCTGCTCCAGCGGCACAAGTCGCAGGAGGTGCAGCAGTGGCATGAGTCACAGGAGCAGCCGGAGCAGCTGCAGATGCTGTTTGATCCGCACGGTCTGCAGCAGCGGCGTGCGTCGCAGGAGTCGCAGGAGCAACGGGATCTGCAGATGCTGCCTGAGCCGCAGGGTCTGCAGCAGTGGCGTGAGTCGCATGAGTCGCAGGAGTCTCAGGAGCAGGGGGGTCTGCAGATGCTATCTGAGCCGCACAAGATGGAAATTTCTGAGGCGTCTCAGGAGTTTTCTTCCAGCAAGAAAGAAGAACCTTCCGTTTCTCAAAGCCAGGTTTCATGGACCGACTTGCAGGATCTGCAGAATCAGCAAGATCAGCAAGATCTGCAGGATCTGCAGGTGCTGTGTGAGCTGCAGGCGATGGAAGACGTTGAGGCTTCAAAGGAGCTTACTTCGAGCAAGAGGAATGAAACTCACTCTTCTCAAAGTCAGGCTTCGAGTGACCAGTTGCAGAACCCGCAGCATCTGAAGCAGGTGCAGGATCTGCAGAATCTGGATCTACAGGATGTAGAGCAGCTGTTGGTTTTGCAGGATCTGCAAGCGGCTCAGCATCTCACAGACGGCAAGAGCCTCTGCGGCAAGGCTGCTGCAGGGGTAGAAGCTTCTGCAGAAGCTTCTACAGGAGAAAATTCAAGTCCAGAGCTTGTTATTGGGTTGGCGGAGGATGGATCCATTGCTGTTGTGGCTAAAGGTGTGGATAAGAGGAGACGGCTGGGGCAGACAGAGGATGAGGCTCGCCTGGGGGCTGCAGGGCATGAGGCTCACCCAGGGGCTGCAGGGAATCAGATGCTTAGTGCACCAGAAACATCGGCGCCTGCAGAAGCAGCAGAGGGCGCATGGCCACCATATGCGGAAGCTGCAGAGGGCTCAGGGTCACCAGCTGCAGAATCAGCAACAGCAGCATTGGCAGCAGCAGTGGTGGCGCCAGCACCTACCAGCAGGGTCGACAGGCTCAGCACGAGCTGCAGGAGCGGCAACACCACCAGCACGAGCATGGTCGCCACAGGCTACAGGGGCGGCTGCCAGGGCGCCACTATGGAGCTGGTTTATCAGCAACACTACTTTGTTACATGCAGTAGTGTAACTATATAACATCATATCTATGTTTCAGTGTAGCAATGAAATTATACTCTCTAGTCTCCAAGCTAGCCATGGGGCTCCCTTTGCCTTTGTGACACATCATCGACAGAAGTGATCTGGACCAGACCAAACCGCCTCCCATCCCTCAGCACCACAGGCTCTCCCTGGTCTCAACCCGGGTACCTGTGTTGACTCCTTTGGCCTAGCGACACATGAGCCGCCACTGTGCGTTGTCAACTATGGCTCCCTTGGATTGGCCGTTCAGGCTACTATTCCCATCTCTCAGCACCCGAGGCTCTCCCTGGTCTCCACTCCAGTCACTGGGTTCACCCCCTTGGCCTTCCGGCACATCAGCCGCCGCTGTGCGTCGTCCACTATGGCGTCTGTGAAGTCCGCTCCTGTCACATCCGCCCCTGCAAGCAGTTGATCGAGGTGGGAGAACCAGGGGTGGGGTAGCAGGGATGTGAACCATAAGAGCCGGAGAGGTGACACAAGAGCCACCGCTGTGCGTTGTGCACTCTGGCATCCGTGAAGTCCGCTCCCGTCACATCCCCTCCTGCTAGCAGGTGGAAGAGGTGGGATCACACAGGCCTGCTTCTGAGTCGACTCAAAAGCTGTGCCTTGTCCACTGCGGCATCCATAAAGTCTGCCCCCAACACATCCTCCTGCAAGCAGCTGACAGGGGTGGATAACCAAGGGATGTGGTAGCAGGGATGTGAACTGTGAGAACCGGAGAGAAGGCACATGAGCCGGCGCTGTGCGTTGTCCACTATGGCATCCGTGAAGTCCGCTCCTGTCACATCCGCGCCTGCAGTCTAAGGGACATGGACGCAAAGGGGGCGACCACAGGGGTTGTGGAACCACCATCAGCCGCCGCTGTGCGTTGTCCACTATGGCGCCTCTGAAATCCGCTCCCGTCACATCCGCTCATGCAGGCAGCTGGCAGAGGTGGATATCAAGGGACGTGGTGACAGGGATGTGAACTGTGAGAGCCGGAGAGGTGACACAGGAGCTGCCGCTGTGCGTGGTCCACTACGGCATCCGTGAAATCCGCTCCTGTAACGTCAGCACCAGCAGGCAGCTGGTAGAGGTGGGATGGCAAGGGAGCGAAACCGGGGGGTTTAACTAGCCAATGTGCTTTGTCCACCAAAACATATGTGAACGAAAAGAAGTTTAAAGAACGAAGCACATGAACATAGGGTGATGGACCAGGGGATGTGCAAACGACAAAGATGCACCAGCGAATGGAGACAGAAGAGAGCTTACCCTCGAACTGTGAACCAGAATGAATCGCATTAGTGAAGTTTGCTGGCAGGGGGTGAGTAAAGGGGGAAGGGGGAAGGGGGAAGAAGCGAGAAGGAGGAAGGGGGAAGGGGGAAGGGGGGGGGGAGGTGGAGGGGGAGGTCAGAAAACCAAGGTAGCAACGTGGTAAGAGAGAAGGAGGCAACGTCGTAAGAGAGATTTGCAACGAAGCATGTGAGAAACGGAGCTCCTTGAAAAGAGAGAAGGAGCTCATAACACACAAATGGGCGAATCCAATGCAGGATAGAGAAGGGATATAGGCAGAGGAGAAGAGAAGAGACGAGAAGAGATGAGAAGAGAAGAGAAGAGAAGAGAAGAGAAGGGCACACTCAAAAGGTTTCAAGGGAACAGCAAAAGCCGTTCAAAGAAGATTAAAAAAGAAAGATAGAAAGAAGGATGCGGCTGAAACGGCTAGCAAGAAGCACGCTTTTGGGTGGCCTCAAAATCAAGCGGCTAGCAAGAAGTACCATTGCGGAGGTTGGCCCCTCTGAAGACAACCCGGTCCGCGAGAGCACGCTCCCTGAGGGAGGTGGGGAGGAAAGGGGGACGGAAAGGAGGCCAGAGAGAATGGAGGGAGATGAAAGAAGGTTGGCCCCTCTTAAGACAACCCGGTCTGCGAGAGCACGCTCGTTGCAAGAGGTGGGGAGGGGAGGGGGACGGAAAGGAGAGTATTTTTCAGAATTTCTCAAGAACACCGCGCGCAAAAAAAAGGGGGGATTGGAGGGGGACGGATGGAGGGAGAAGAGAGAAGGTTGGCCCCTCTGAATACAACCTGGTCCACAAGAGCATGCTCCCTGAGGGAGGTGGGGAGGGGTGCAATAGGTGGGGGGCGAACAGAGCGAAGGAACTGAATCTGTGAGAGGGGGGGGGGGGGGGACAAGAGGCTGGCTCCTCTTAAGACAACCAGGTCCGGGAGAGCACACTCCCTGTGAGAGATGGAGACGGGAGAGTGAAGGGGGGGGGTGCAGAGAGAAGGATTTGATTCTCTAGAGGGGAACAGGGGGCGGGGCGGGGGGGGGGGAGGAGGAGGGGGGAGGGAGGGGGCAAAAGGCTGGCTTCTCTGACGACAACCCAGTCGTCGAGTGCTGGCTCCCTGCCACTACGCCCCCATAGCACTGTGAGTCAACACTGAGTGCACTCAGTGCACATGCCCATTTGAGGTTAAGTAGATTAGCTTTGAGAGACGTCTCAAAGCTGAGAGCTCGCTCCCTGCCACTACGCCCCCATGGCACTCAGTTTCAACACAGAGCACACAGGCCCACTTGATTCTCGGCCGTCCACCAGTTGCCGCTCTTCAGGTTGGTGAGCTCAAAGCCCGGAAAGGTGGCGGCGCCGCTAACAAGTTCCCACACAAGTCCTCTTGGCACTCGGAGTCAACACACAGAGCCCCGGCCCATTCACACCGCAGCAGCTCACCAGTTGGCGTTCTCCAGGCTGGCGCGCTCGAAGCCCGGAAATTTGTCCGAGCTTTCCAAGCCCCTCACTAGTCGTCATAGCTCGCTGAATCAATCAACCACTTAACTATCACCGCGCCAGCACACAGCAAGCACGCCTCTGCCACTCACCAGTTGGTGTTCCCCACGTTGACCAGCTCAAAGCCCGCAAAGGTGTCGGTGCTTTGAGACCCTCAGAAGTGCCCTCAGAAGTGCCCTCTGCTGCTCACCAGTTGGTGTCCTCCACGGTGGCCAGTATTAAAGCCCACAAAGGTGTCGGTGCTTTGAGACCCTTCTGACATCCCCTTAGCATTCTGAGTCCAACCAGGGAGCGTATGCGGCACGCGCACTCACGCCTCTGCCACTCACCAGTTGGTGTTCTCTAGATTGGCCAGCTCAAAGCCCGCAAAGGTGTCGGTTCTTCCAGCGAGGTTCGATCCGCTCAGGTTGATTAGGCGGCAGTCACATGCTGGATGGTTGGTTCGAGGGGGAAAGGGGGGGAGGGGGGAAAGGGGGTGAGAAATGGGATGGAAGAATACGAAGAAAGGGAGCCCGGTGCTTCCAGCGAGATTCGATCCGCTCGGGTTGATCAGGCGGCAGTCACATGTTGGACGGTTGATCTGGGGAGTGAGGCGGGAAGGGGAGAAGAGAGCCAGGGAGGGGGAGAGAGGCAGGAAGGGGTGAAGAGAGCCAGGGAGGGGGAGAGAGCCAGGGAGTGGGAGAGAGCTAGGGATGGGGAGAGAGCCAGGGATGGGGAGAGAGCCAGGGATGGGGAGAGAGCTAGGGAGGGGGAGAGAGCCAGGGAGGGGGAGAGAGGCAGGGAGGGGGAGAGAGCCAGGGAGGGGGAGAGAGGCAGGGAGGGGGAGAGGTGCAATCTGGTCAGGTAGATGAGCCGGAAGCCACACGCTGGATGGGGATAACGTTGGGCGAGGGACGGGAGACGACGAGGGAGGGGGGACGGGGGAGGGGGAAGAAGAGGATGGGGGGAAGAGTTTCAACCGAATAAGGATGACCCGCTCAGGTTGATGAGGCGGCAGTCACATGCTGGATGGAAAAAAGGTAAGTGGGGTGGGAAAAGGAGGGGTGTGGAGGATTAGAAACTCCAAAGGAAGGAGAGTGCAAACAATTTTTGAGGCGCCTCAAAAATCGAAGGAAGGAGAGTGCAAACATGCCAGTGCGCCGGAGAAAACCCACCCTCTTAGCTTGGTCGGCCGCCAATCCTGACCAGATCCGCTCCTCGCTCGTCGCCCCTCGGTTGGTTCTCCTCCTTATCCCCGACCCCCCATTGCTACCCTAGCTCTCGCCATCCCCCCCTCCTTCCCTCCACCTGTCCCTTGCCCTTCCCCTGCCCGTCCCAGACATCCTCACCATCCTCCTTCCTCTCCCCCTACTGGCAAACACCCATCCCTCTCCCTCCGCCTCCCTCACCGGCAAACAAGGACCTGTAGAGGTCCCGATTGGACATATCCGCGCATCTCTCGTCCCTCCTCCCCCCTGCTACCCAATCTCCGCCACCCCGGTTCACCCCCTCCTCCCCCACCCCTCGTCACCCTCGTACAATCTACTCAATTCTGGATTGGTAAAGGTCCTGATTGGACATATCCACGCACCTCACTCTCGCCCGATACACCTACCTCCCTCCCTCGCCCTCCCCTCCCCTTACTACCCCCGCCCCTGGCTACCCCCTCCCCTTGCTACCCCCTCCCTTCACCAGCAAAGATGGACAGGTAGGGGTCCTGATTGAACATATCCGCGCATCTCTCTCGCCCCCCCCCCACACTGCTACCATATCTCCCCCCCCACCCCCTTGCACCCCCCACCCCCCACCTCACCAGCAAAGATGGACCGGTAGAGGTCCTGGTTGGACATATCTGCACCGCGCAGATAAGCGTGGTTATAGGTCTGAGTGGGGAGGTGTGGGGAAGGTGTGGGCGGAGGGAGGAGGGGGGAGGGGAAGGGGAAGAAGGTGGGAGGGGGAACGGGGGAGGGGGAAGGGGAGGGGAAAGAGTTGAAGAGGGGGTAGGAGAGGGCGAAAGCAGCAAAAAGCAGGGGATATGGGGATTTTAGAGAGTATATAATGGGATAGAAACGTCATTATCAACGTTTCATTACAATACGATGAACATCATTACAAAAATATGAACTTCGTTACAATAAGAACCTATCCAAGCCCACACCTTGAAGTCGGCAGGGGGCCTAGCGGGCGCGAAGGGGCCCAGGGGGGGCGCGACAGGGCCGAGCGGGCGCGACGGGGGCCGAGCGGGCGCGAAGGGGCGCAGGGGGGGGCGCGACGGGGCCTAGGAGGCGCGACGGGGCCCAGGG